GAAAGCTGGCCGGCAGCGGCAGCCTCAGCAGCAGCATTCCGGCTGCAACACTCCTGTGGCTGCGGGGAGTGAAGATTAGGCCAGGAACAGCATTTCTTCTCCCTCGCCAAACGGCCCAGTTCTTCTGTAGTTAATAAAGTCTATTTTGTCGTAGCCTCTTTGTTTTCAGGGAGGAGGGTCACAGCCACGTTGTTTAACACCCCCTCTGCAGTGGGAGAGCTGAAGCTACCTGCCCTTGCTCGTTGTCAGTGGCTGACGTCCTGCCCGTACAACAGCTGATCTGGGATTGCTGTGACTTCCCACTTGGAGTCCTTGCACTTGGTGTCTCTCCTGCCCCCCTACACCCCATAGCCCTGGCTGGTCCAAGGGAATCTCTGCTGTGGTTCCTCCTGCAGGATGTCTTGGTAATCCCTGGGCTTTCTACAGGAGAAGTGACTGGTCTGTCAGCACCAGTGGTTGAGAGGGGCCATATTCCAAGAGGGTACTTCAGTGGCTGAAGTACCATGAGGCACTGCATCTAGCATGGAAAGAGCAGAAGCCACCAGTCAGCCTGGGCTCTTGTGTGCTCCCAGGCCCTCTCCCTGCCCTGCAAGCTTTCCTCTCTTTTGTTTCTTGTTTTAACAATCTGGCAAGTCCAATCAAATGTGAGGAAAGTAAAACCCCAGAGGTGCTGCCCCTGCGCACAGCCCAAGCCCCTTCCATAGCTGGCTGTGCTCCTGCTTCCCATTCCCCCTCCCCTGGCGCTTGCTTTGGTTACAGCCTGCTGCAGGGACTGCCCGCAAGCATGTTCATGCCCAGTGTGGACCCTGCTGCCAGGTGGGAGCCACAGGGACCCTTATGCCCACGCAAAGCCTTGATGAAATCTGGTCTCTGCATCACCCCATCGACCTGTCTGGGTAGGGCGGAGCTGGGGTCTAGGGTTGGGGTCTCGAAGGTCTGGTCCCTGCTGCAAAGAATCTGTGATCTCCTTGCTTATTAAGCACCTACATACTGTAACATGCATGTGGTAACTGGTGTGGGGGCGAGGAGGAGGAGCAGCAAACTTGCAAATACTTGGTTATGGGTATACAGAATGAGCAAGTTCCTTGTGAGTTGTACATTGTCTGTCTGTCCTCTCTCTGTCTCACTTTTACCATGTCTGTTTTATGTATATTGGGAATCTGTTGGCCCACATCTGAAATGCAGATATTTCTGATTAAGAAAATGTGTTTATAAACGCATGCGAAACAATGCATAAAAGCATGCATGTGTTAGGACAAGGAGTGGAGAAACCCCTCTGGGGTACCCGCTGGTGGCGTGATGGATGCCAGAAGGGGCAGTATCTGAACTGGAATATACTCAGGGAGCAAAGTGAATCCCCTCGCTGGGCAGACAGTGCTGTGTGGGGGGCAGAAGGATTTATTACAGGTGTCCAAGGCGCCTTTGTCACACTGAAGACAAACGGAGCTAATGTGCATAGAGCAGAGTCCCTGGGTGTCAGACTTTCCCTGGACAACCTTGTGAGCCCTTCTCTTTGGTCCCCACACACAGAGTCATGTTTTCGCCGTTGTTCAGGGAGAGCTTGCTATGAGCTGTTGTCTTTCATGGCTCATCAGAGGCTTTTTGTCCCCTGCAGGTGCTGTGGCAGTAGCGGAATTCATCGCAGAGAGTCCCCGGCTCCTTCGACTAGACCTGCGAGAGAATGAGATTAAAACGGGAGGCCTGATGGCGTTGTCCTTGGCCCTCAAGGTCAACCACTCGCTGCTCAGACTGGACTTGGACAGGGAACCAAAGAAAGAATCGGTGAGTGGCCCTGCACAATTGAGACGAGCTGCCCTGCGCTGTCCGCCCCCTTTGCACTGCAGTGCTCCAGTAGGAGCTTCCCAAACTCGTGCCCAATGGTGGTGGGTGGAGGTGCTGCCTGAGGTGGTTGTGCCAGGCTGCCTCAGCAGAAGGTGGAACAGCCCCCTGGCTCATTCACTGGGGCTGTGGCTTTTGAAACCTTCCAGTTTCAAGCTGTGCCATGATGCTGGCGATAGGATCTTGCCATCCTCTTTTCTTCCCCACATACCTCTCCAGGAGATTCTTCTCCTAAGCTGCCACAAGGGTTTGTGATGCAGAGGGAGAGCTTGGGCGAGAGCTCTTGTCTTGCTTCCTGCGAGCTCAGTAGTTTTTGCTTTCCAAGAAAGCTGCATGCCTAACTGGCTGCAAGGTGAAGTGTATGGCACAGATCCGCTCCAGCATTAGGCTCCTGATGGGGTTCCCCTAGCTGAGCTGTAGATCATTGCTTTCTCTGGGCTGATGCTCCCCATGGCAGTGCTTCTTAACAGATGCTGTTGTTGCCTTCGCTGGAGGCTGGAAAAGGTGCTGCAGCAAAACGGTAATTTCGTACCTGTAACAGTTCTTTGTGACCATATCCCCAGTGCCTCGTGCCCACCAGGGGATTCCCAGAGCTGGTGCGTTGGGAAAGTGACTGCTGTCAAAGCCCTACATCCGCAGGCCGGATCCAGTGGCTCCATGGGCTTGGATCCAGCCTGTGACCTGTAGGTTGCCGATCCTTGATCTACAACCGTGTGCAGCGGATAGACAGGATTTAGAACCAGTGTAGATGCTCTCTGAAGCTTCCCGGATACCCGTCTGAGTGCAGTCAGAACTTTCACCTGTGTCTGTTTCTCACTGTTCTCTGCAAGTTGGAAAGCCTATAAAATTGGTAGAAAAACAGATACTAGAGCACATTTTGCAGCGATCCAGGATTCTAAGCCCTGCATAGGGAGAGGTGTGAATATTGCTGCATGCATCGTTTTACCACCAGCTGTAGTTTCAACAGTGGTTTTTCTCTACCTGACAGGTGAAGAGCTTTATTGAAACCCAGAAGGCTCTCTTAGCTGAAATCCAGAACGGCTGCAAGCGCAACTTCATTCTGGCCAAAGAGAAAGAGGAGAAAGAACAGAAATTGCAGCAATCGGCCTCCATGCCAGAGATTACCATTACAGAGCCTGTCGAGGAGGGATTGGTGACCAACTGTCAATCTGACAGCACATCACCCCCGCCGGAAGAGGGAGAAGAAGTTGCGGAGACGTTGATGTCCAAAGAGAACGGGGATACGGATGAGGCAGCAAACAGCGACAAAGACGGAGTGACGTATTCGGACTCTGACACAGACGAGGAGGTAGAGATTGGGTTGGTGACTAAAGAGTTTAGTAAACCAGAGAGCCCAAAGGGTTCTGATTACGTAGCTTACTCACCTCAACCGCCACTTTCTCCTGAGAAAACTGAGGAAACTCTTAGCTCAGGGGGCAGAGCGCCCCCTTCAAACACTGCAGAAGAAACACCATGTGACCCCAAAGGTGTGGGGAGCAACCCAGGGACCCCAGCACACACTCAGTCTCAAGGGAACGAGAGGAGGATTTCTGTTTCCAGCCCAGGCCGAGGCCATAAGGTCTTCGTGGTGACACGGGTGGAAAGTCTGCCAGAAAAGCTGGGCGAGAACACTACAAGCCAGGAGAACCCGGGGAAACCTGCTAAGCCCATAGCCCAGATCCTGCTGGCAAAGACTGAGTTCTTGGACTCACAAGCGAATGGGACGGTTCCCAACTTGGAAAGTGCCGTGTTGTGCGGAAGCACTGGAGCCAGCTCAGAGCGGGTCTCCCCTGGGCAGTGTGAGAGCACTGTCCTGGACACCCTGCTTCCCAACGGGCTCAAGACAGAGTTTGTTCGTGCGCTACCAGATGCATCCTCCGGTGGCGACGGGAAAATGGGGAGCTGTGCCGTGGAGCATGGTAAGAGCGCTCTTCAGTCCTGCGTGCTGAGCTGGGGTCTCCACAGGCGAGTTTCCTCTGACCCCTGTTTCCACAGCTCGTTCTCTAAAGACAGGGGAACAACCAGGGTTATGAGCCTCTCCTAGGGGGCAGTGGCAGGCTCCAGGGCTGCTCAGTCCCCCCTCAGTCTTCTCTTCAGACTCAGTAAGCCCAGTTCCCTCAGCCTCCCCTTATCAGTCCTGTGCCCCTGTCTTTGGAACTCTGCGGCGCATCCACATCCTTCGTGTGGAAGCCACCAGTGAGAGTGACTGGCCAGAGCACTTACCCCCATGCTAATATGGCCAGACCTCAATGGGAGTAGCCTGGTGCTGGTCTGGGTGGAGCTGGCCACTCCTGGGGCAGCAGTGGCTGAGTGTCCTGTGTGGCCGTCCACGTGGCTGCTGCTTGCTTTACGGTGTGCACCTTGCTCCGCGACGAGAGGGCCTTGTTAGCTCTGCCCAGGGAAGTCTCCTGGATGGTGCCCTCACCCCACTTCTGACCTACCGAAAAGGACGCGCACTTTTTCCAGTGCGTTACTAAGAAGGCCGGGAGCAGCCAGCTGATGAGAGCTCAAGCATTTTTTTTTTTTTTTTTTTTTTTTTAAATCCTGTAATAACTCATCCGCTGATGACTCTTCCACTGATGGTAGAGACAGTTTGTTCAGCATGGGAGATACTGACTGCAGGGGGAAGTAGCAAAACTCGCTGCACACATGTGTCAGATGAGATGCCCCTGGTGAAAAACCTCATTGTCTCAGTTGCGGAAACATTGTCCTGAGCAGACGCGCTGAACTTGGAGGCTCGTATGCTTCAGGGTAAGGGTGCGTGAGCTTCACAGGCAGTGCCGCTTGCTGTCACCTGCAGCGTCGTGGTTTCAGTGATGTTCCTTTAGCCTGAGCTCTCGCAGCATCCGATGAAGTGAACTTGGGTTCATGAGAGCTGGTGCTCCATATGCATCTCGTCTAGTTAGTCAATCTAGGGACCCATCGGCCCTGTCTTCTGACAGCTTTGGAGGAGACGGTGGGAGCTTGTTTGTTCAGCAGCTGAGCTGGCCCTCCCGCGGGTGGGCTATCTGAACAGAGAGATTGTTGTAAGCATTCATTTATCTGTGGGGACTTGACGCGTGGTTTGGAGTGACAAACATTTACTGGTAAGACTATCAGCTCCGTGTCAGGTGACCAGGCAGCTGACGTTCACGTGGCTTGTTCCTGCTCCCTGCTGGCATGACCTACAGCACAGCGGGAGGGGGAGTCGGTTTTTCTGCTCGCGAGTTGCCCGCAGATGTTTGGAACTGTTTGTCTCCTGAGGAAATAATTCTGGGCCTTTCAGCAGGTGAAAGCTGTGCAAACAGTCCTTGCCACTTGTTTACTCAGTGCGGTGCCCACAGCTAGGCACGGCGCTGCACCGCAGCTTCCCTGGCGCGGAGCCACGGGGAGGAGTGACCTTCAGGTCTGGCGAAGGACACGCTGCTCAGCACATCCCCGGAGGACGTTTGCCCTTCTCACCGCAGCATCGCGTTGGTGACTGGCACGCAGATCTGCCACCTTGTCGCTGTTGTGCCTTGGTGGGCTCTGGAGTGCAGAGCCGGATGCCCAAGGGACCTCCTCCGGCCGGTGCTGTGCAGGAGCTGAGCCAGGGAATCAAAGTCTCTTTGCCCTTAAAAAGCTGCTAATTCTTCCTTCTTTTTAAAGAGTATTAACCCCCTCGTTGCATCCTAGTGTGGGCAAACTCCCCATCCCGAGCTAGCAGATGCATGAGGCAGGTCCCCTGGAAGGAGGTTGGCCATCTGAGATGAACTGACGTGACAACGTGACCCTTTTCAGTGGCAAAAACATGGCCTCTCGGCCCCTCTGGCCTCGCAGCCTGCAAGTGTCTTGTTGCTTGGTCCCCTGTTGGCTGTCTGTGATCTTTCCCTTGAGTACTTGACATAAGACAGCTGCGTCCCACACACGTCGGACCAGAGAAGGTGCTGGGGGCTCCAGGTAGAGAGAGGATCGCATCCCAGCTGTTTTCGTGGCCCACAAGATGTGAGGCTAGCAGGCCAGCCCATTCCACCCTCCAGGTCCCAGCCTCCAGGTATCCCCTGCTAAAGACCTGGGCAAAGAGCATGATGTGGCCTCCTCACACCAGCAGCCACATGGCAGGAGCTCCTGCTCGGCCTGTCTGATTCTTGGGTGAAGAGGCAACGCGCCCAACCTGGAGGAGGAGCAGGAGAGGCTTGGGAGTGAGCTGTGCCCACAAATCGAAGTCCCTTTGGAAGCACTGTACAGATTTCCTGGGGTTGGAGCTTTCCCTGATGCTGGATTCAGGAGGTGTTGGGGGAGAGAGCCATGTGTCCACGCAGGAAAAGGTGTCCTTTGGGATAGCAGCGGAGAACGGACATCCTGACCCAGGGGGAAGGGGCAAGCTAGATCCAGGCTGCAGAAATCCCCATGCTGGAGACACTGGTGTGAATACCTGGGAGTCTAAGAGCTCTGCCGCCGTGTTGGACGCACGGTACCTGTTCCAAGTGCTGGCACGTGGATAGCTCCGGTCTGCTGTAAGGGAGACCAGACTGGAAGTTGGGTCCCCTGCTGCTGCAGCAACCACACCCTGTAACACCTTCGGTAGATGCATTAGATGGAGCTTCTCATGGATGCTGGCTAGGTTTCTTCTCCCTAGGACTGGCTGCAAGGTGGCTTCAAAGCCTCCATCTTCTGGCTAGAATCTCTTTCCAAATTTCCAGCAGCGATTGGCAGTAAGTGTACGTAACCTTTGAACACAGTGTCTGGGAGCCCCTGTCTCAATGCGTGTGGCGTGGAACTTGCTAGGCGTTCTTCCTTGCACAGCTGGGGAGAGCTTGCAGCGAATGGTTCTTACGGCCACTGGTTACTGACTTTCCCTGTGTCTGTTTTCAGAACTCAGCTGCTCCAAGAATGAGAAGGAGCTGGAGGAATTGCTCCTAGAAGCGAGTCAGGAGACCGGGCAGGAGCCACTGTGACACTTTAGGTAAGGAGGCTTTGCTCTTAGTCCGGGAGAAGGGTACAAGGAAGCTGGAGACTGCACAAGCTGTTGTTGTTGCCGTGCCGAAGCAGAGAGATTCCTCCTCCCCACTCCAGGATCTACCAACCCCTGGTCACCAGGATCATTGCAGTATCTGTGCTGGGTTAGTGCCATGTCAAGCATGTCTGTACTGGACTGGTGCTGGCCTTGTGCGCGCTCAAAGCAT